ATTATATCAAAACCCATACGATTTGGCAGAACCTTATATTCATTCGCTTGAAAACTTAATATCCCACAATCATCCAAATTCCTCACCCTACAATCCTCTAATCGCCTTATCACTGTAACATCACTAGCCCTCAATGAATCTATCCTAATCCATATTTCTCATTAGCCACCAAAATCTTATATTTTATTATTTTTTTTCCAAGTCCAACACGCTGCCACGTTAATACAACTCAATTCTATTCTTTCTATTCCACAACCCAGCATAATAATAATAATAATAATAATAATATAATATCTACCCATATATATATATATATATATATATATATATATATATATATATATATAAAGCAATAGTTAATGTATGCTTACTTGATTCAGACTGAATGACTGTCGCAAAGTCCTCTTCGAGAGGCTTTTTTTGGTTTTCCTCTTCTCCGTGTTCTCTGTTTTTATTCTTTTGTTTGCGTAAATTATAATCTAAAAATTGTAAAACCCCTATAAATTTATTTTAATACATGGGTCAAGTGGTAAAGGATACTAAATAATTTATGGATTTGGCCCATTAACTATCAACTATTAATTATTTGCTAAATACTCGTCCACTAATTACTCGTAGTTACTGAATAGTTTAAAATTTTCCATTTAAAATTTTACGAGAAGAGTCAAAATAGTCCTAGTTCTCAAAATGACCTGACGGGTCGTTACATCATCTACCACTTAAACAAATGTTCGTCCTCGAACTGTAAAAGAATAGAATGCACCTGAACACTAAAAAAGCTGAGGATATCTACTCCTCCTGTCTGACTCGGTCTCCCATGTAGCCTCCTCCACCGGATGATGCTTCCATTGAACCTTTATTGAAGCAATCTCCTTTGACCTCAACTTTCGAATTTGCCTATCCAGGATAGCTATCGATTCCTCCTCAAAAGTCAAATTTTGATCAAGTAACACTGAATCCCGTTGAATCACATGAGCACCACCCTAATGATACTTCTTCAGCATCAAAATATGAAATACTGGATGAACACCCGCCAAACAAGGTGACAAAGCCAATGCATACGCCACCTCACCAATACGTTTAACAATCTCGAAAGGACCAATATACCTTGGTCTCAACTTGCCCTTCTTTCCAAATCTCATCACACCCTTCATGGGTGAAACCTTTAATAGAACCCGTTCTCCAACCATGAACTCCAAATCACGAACCTTCCGATCTGCATAACTCTTTTGCCTACTCTGAGCCATGAGAAGTCTATCTTGGATCAACTTAACCTTGTCCAAGGACTCTCTCAGAAAATCTGTACCCCACGGTCTAACCTCAAATGCATCAAACCAACCAATTGGAGATCGACATCTCCTACCATACAAAGACTCAAATGGTGCCATCTCAATGCTTAAATGGTAACTATTACTGTAAGTAAACTCTACTAATGGAAAAAACTGATCCCAGTTACCACCAAAATCGATCACACACGCCGACAACATGTCCTCAAGTACCTAAATAGTCCGTTCAGACTGAATGTCAGTCTGAGGGTGAAAGGTTGTACTAAAATCCACCCTAGTGCTCAAATCCTTCTGCATAGACCGCTAGAAATGAGATGTAAATTATGTCCCACGACCTGAAATAATAGAAATAGGAACCTCATGCAGACGAACTATCTCTCGAATATAGATCTTGGATAACTTCTCTGAATTATAGGTAGTTTGAACTGGTATGAAGTATGTAGACTTAGTCATCGATCCACAATGACCCATATAACATCAAACTTACCCAAGGTACCTGGCAACCCTACCACAAAGTCCATAGCAATGTGCTTCCACTTCCAGTCAAGTATGGTCATCCTCAGAGTAACAACTCTAGGCTTTTGGTGTTCATACTTCACTTGCTGACAATTCAAACACCGAGATACAAAATCTACTATGTCCCTCTTCTTACGACCCCACCAATAATGTTGCTTCAAGTCATGATACATCTTAGTAGCTCCCGGATGAATAGAGTACCTCGAACTATATGCCTCTCCATGATCAATTTAGTCAATTCACCGGTCCGAGGAACACAAATACGACCTTTATCCTCAAAACGCCCTCATTATCAAGAATTGCATCCTTGGCTTCTCCTTTTGACACCTTGTCTCTAATCTAACATAAATCACCATCATCAAACTGTTGAGCCCGAATCTTCTCCAACAAGGATGACCTTGCCTCCATATATGCCAACACCTTACTAGATTCTAAAATATAAAGCCTCACAAAGCTATTGGACAAGGATTGGACATCCGTAATTAAAGGACGCTCGACAACCTGTAACAAAGCTAGACTACCCATACTTACCGCCTTTCAACTCAAGGCATCTACTACCACATTTTCCTTACCTAATGATAAAGAATAGTCATGTCGTAATCTTTGAGCAACTCCAACCACCTACGGTGCCTCAAATTGAGATCCCTCTGATTGAATATATACTTGAGGCTACGATGATCCATGAACACCTCACAATGCACACCATAAAGATAATGCCTCCAAATTTTCAATGCGAACACAACAACCGCCAACTCCAAATCATGAATAGGATAGGTCTTCTCATGAACCTTCAACTGCGTCAAAGCATAAGCTATCACCTTCCCTTTCTACATCAATACGCAACCAAGACCAATTCGAGAAGCATCACAATATACAACAAAACCCTCTCCCTCCACGGGTAGGGTCATAATCAGAGAAGTAGTCAATAAAGTCTTGAGCTTTTGAAAACTCACCTCACACTGATCAGACCATTGGTAAACCACTTCTTTCTGGGTCAATCTAGTTAATGAGGATGCAATGGATGAGAACCCCTCTACAAACCGTCGATAATAACTGGTAAGGCCTAAGAAACTCTGAATCTTAGTAACTGAAGCAGGTCTGAACCAATCTCTTACTGCCTCAATCTTCTTAGGATCCACTATAATACCCTCCTTGGACACTACATGTCCCAAGAATGCTACTGAACTAAGCCAAAACTCAAACTTTGCATAAAGTTTCTTCTCCTTCAGAATCCCAAGCACAATCCTCAAATGATGCTCATGTTCCTCCTTACTACGGGAGTATATCAATATATCATCTATAAAGACAATAACAAAGGAATCCAAGTATGGTCTGAACACTCCGTTCATCAAGTCCATAAAAGTTGCTGGGGCAATTGTCAATCCAAAAGACATTACCAGAAACTCATAATGGCCATAACGTGTTCGGAACGCTGTCTTAGGGATATCCTCCACCCTTACCTTCAGCTAATGATAGCCGGATCTCAAGTCAATCTTGGAGAAAATTGAAGCACCCTGCAGCTGATCAAATAAATCATCAATACGAGGTATCGACTACTTATTTCTGATGGTTACCTTGTTCAACTGCCAATAGTCAATACACATACGCATCGATCCATTTTTCTTCTTCACAAATAACGCTGGAACACCCCAAGGATATACACTAGGTCTTATAAAACCCTTGCTCAACAAATCCTGCAGCTGCTCGTTCAACTCTTTCAATTCAGCTGGTGCCATACAATAAAGAGGAATGGAAATAGGTTGAGTGCCTGGATCTACGTCAATAAAAAAATCAATATCACGATCAGGTGGAAGACTTGGTAAATCTATTAGTAATACCTCTGAAAATTCACTCACCATCGAAATAGACTCAAGCATAAGAGTCTCAACACTAGTATCTCGAATGTGCACCAAGTAAGCCAAACATCCTATCTCTACCAAGTGACGAGCCTTAAGAAATGATATCACCCTTTTAAGAGGCTGACTAAGAGAACCTCTCCATTCTACTATTGGAATTCCAAGCATAGCTAATGTAATTGTCTTGGCATGACAATTTAAAATTGTGTGATAAGGAGATAACCAATGCATACCAAGAATCACATCAAAATCTACCATATCAAAGACCTTTAAATCTGCATGAGTTCATATCCCATCAACGTAACTATATATAGTCGATACACTCGATCTACCACTACAGAATTCCCAACAGGAGTAGAAACATGTATCGGCAAATCAAGAGACTCACATAATATATCCAGACTCGAAGCAAAATATGTGGACACATAAGAATAGGTATAGCCTGGATCAAATAATACAGTAGCTAGCAACATCTGAAGTCTCACCCTCTTGCCTACCCGAAAAAGCATAATAGTGAGAACGACTACCCTCAGATTGTGAACCTCTACGACCACCACCTCAACCAAAAGGAGAACCACCTCTACCTGAATTAGAACCACATTTACCACTTTGTACACCTCCCCTAGTTGGAGGTTGTGTAGCCCTAAAAGTCGAAGCCTGAGAACCCTGATGCAAACCACCATGTCTGGTCTTAGGGTAATCTCTCACAAAGTGTCCGATATCACCACACTCAAAACAACCCCAACGAGACGTAGGCTGATGAGAGGCACCTGAATGACCAAAATGTCCTTCACGGCCTACAGGTCTGGAAGATGAACCCTAAGAAGTATGCACCGAACTCGAACAACTATGCCTGGTGTAACCAGCCTCAGACGCTGGTATAATAACATGAATTGGTCTGCTAAACTGAGAGTGATAACGTCTCCCTAAATAACCTCAACTCCTAGGCGGAGCACCACCATAATCACGGGAATGATGGGCCTTCTTGCCCTCACACTGCTCAAATCCCTCACGCCGAATCATCTCCAACTCCTTAGCAGCATTTACCACATTCTGGAATGGAACAGCAGAAGAAGTAACTTGAGAAACTCCTACATGAATTAGAATAATCAGCCCCTTAACAAACCGTTGTGGGAAGTATCATCAAAGCATGCTTATTCAAGGCATGGAATTTTCCCTCATACTCTGCGACTGACATACCATCTTGATGCAAACCCTCGAACTCGGCCCTGTTGCGCTCCCTCTCACTACGTGGAGAAAAATTCACTAGAAATACCTGAGTAAACTAGGTCCATGATAGTGGAGGGGATCCAACTGACCTACTACTAATATAATCCCTCCACTATTGCTTGGAAGAGCCAGTCATCTGAAATGTTGTGTAGTCAACTCCATGAGACTCCACTAATACAAGATTATGAAACCTCTCATGACAACTAACAATAAATTCATATGCATCCTCAGTTAAGTCACCAATATAAGTCAGAGGATTCATTAGTCTAAACCTCCCAAACATCTTTTGTTCATCAACGTTCATGGAAGGCATGTTCGCCAAGTGTGACGCAATACCTGTCAATTCTATACTATCTAAACGGAGAGCTACAACAGCAGCTAGCCGAGTCTTGGAATTCTGAGAATCTGGAGCAACCATGGGATCTGAAGTCTGACCTCCAACACGGGTATGTGGAGCATCAGAGGCGACATGAAAAGTTCCCGCCTGAGCCATCCCCTCTAGAAGTCCTAACATACATGCCAAGGTATCTTGAAGCACTAGGGTAGCAATAATATAGGGTGGAGCCTGAGCTGGACAATCCCCCTCTATATGGTCCTGTACATCCCAATGAATAACATCTGCATCAGGAGGTACAGTCCTATCATGACCCTGGGTAGTTATTGGTACTTGGACTTCCACGGGTACTGCAATACGACCCCTGCCCCGACCTTGACCTCAACCTCAACCTCATCCTCTGCCTCTACCTCGAACAGTGCTCCCAAAAGCAGGTACAGGGATAGGCTCCTGATCATCACTTACAGATGTACGAGTCCTCACCATCTGAAAGAGAACAAAATATCAAGATTAGAATTGCAACAAGGTCCAGTATGCACGATAAGGAATAAAATAATATAATTTTCCTAAATATCCTATAGCCTCTTGAAGATAGGTATAAACGTCATCATACCGATCCACAGGACTCTACTAGACATTGGTCTTGTACTCGTGAGACCGATAAACGTAGGGCTCTGATACCAAATTGTCATGACCCAAATTCACAAGTCGTAATGGAACCTATGTTCCCAATCGATAGGTAAGCCAACCCAATAAATTTACCAATTTTAACTAACAAATGAGGTAAAAAGGTAAACAACGAGTAAAAATCTCCAACACTAAGTTCTTTATAAATATGAAATGTGGAAAGCTAAAAACCACCCCAAGAATTGGTGTCATAAGTGCAAGAGCTTCTACATATGATGCAAGTTTGAAACTAAATGACAAATCCAAACATAAAGGATAACTTGTATGAATACTAAAACTACAGATAAATAAAAGATAGAGGGAGGTGTGGGCTACGAAACAACCAGACAACTCACCACAACTCCAAGATACTTCAAGCTCAGACTCAAAAAGCTCCACGAGAAGTGCTCGTATTAGGAATCGAATCTGCACCACAAAAGAGTGCAATAAGTGTAGTATGAGTACAAAAGCATGTGTACCCAGTATATCTCATAGACTGACAACTAAGAAGTAGTGACCATAGTTTATATAAGAAAAATAATTTATTTACTTATACAAGTCTATATAACACTTACCAGACCAGTTTCATCAAATAGAGGTAATCAAATATCAAGTACTTTCCAACCACCAGTAAAACACATAATCATCAAGAATGAAGGATATCATAAGATGCAATGCAATATGATACCATGAAATAATATGCCTCAGGATACCAAGTACTCTCTCAACTCTATATACATGATCCTCCTCGGAAATTCATCGAGAGTTCATGACCCATGGGGGACTCGCGAGGTCCATATACTGACACAGACAATCTCCACGTGTCTGTGTGGACAATATCAACGCACTGTCATAAAATCCAACAGTTTCCACACAGACGATCTCCACGTACCCAAATTGTAATCTTAATATCTCACCATTCCCAGCACGAACGATCTCCACGTGCCCAACTTATACTCAACCTCATGTCAATACATGTGCACAATATGATTTCAAATAAAGGGGATGATGATGCATCTCAGTCAATCAAATATCATCATAATACATAACCACCTCAACTATCATAATTATACGGGCTCAATAAAGAAACACAATCACACAAAAGAACTTAATTCATTAATACATCAAATAATGCTCATATGCTTTGGCATTCTCGTATTACAATCCGCATTCTATAATAATAAACTTTCCCTTTATAACACCAGTACTCGTACTGATGCCCGTCACACCATTGGTACGAGACCCCCATCTTTCGCCCTTACCCATTTTCTATTCTGGTTCTAATCTTTGATTAGAAAAATGTCCTTCAACGAAGTCTAAAAGTCTTAAAATACCTTGAATGTCGAACACGTGCCACAAATCCTCAAGATTTTTCCTTCCCTTTTAGCAAAGCTTCAGAACGTTTCCAATCTATCAATTATGAAATATTTGTAAGCACGCGAGTTCATAGAGACTCATATTATTATATGTCTATCCTAGACCCAAAAACTCACTCATATCTCTAACCAAGCTTCTACTTTTGATATAAATTATATTTCAAAATGATACTTGCTAAATTTCAAACTTATAGTTAAGCATTAAACTACCAAAATATCATAAATCTAATGGTGTTCGTAATACACCTAGTAATTAATTATATCAAAACCCATACGGTTTGGCAGAACCTTATATTCATTCACTGGAAAACTTAATATCCCACAATCATCCAAATTCCTCACCCTACAATCCTCTAATCACCTTATCATTGTAACATCACTAGCCCTCAATTAATCTAGCCAAATACCTATTCCTCATTAGCTACCAAAATCTTATATTTTATTATTTTTGTCCAAGTCCAACACGCTGCCACATTAATACAACTCAATTCTCTTCTTTCTATTCCCCAACCCAACATAATAATAATAATATAACATCTACCCAAATATATATATAAAACAATAGTTAATGTATGCTTACTTGATTCAGACTGAACGACTGTCGCAAAGTCCTCTTCGAGAGGCCTTTTTGGTTTTCCTCTTCTCCGTGTTCTCTTTCTTTTTCTTTTGTTTGCATCAATTATAATCTAAAAATTGTAAAACCCCTATAATTTTATTTTAATACATGGGTGAAGTGGTAAAGGATACTAAATAATTTATGGATTTTCCCATTAACTATCAACTACTAATTATTTGCTAAATACTCGTCAACTAATTACTCGTAGTAACAGAATAGTTTAAAATTTTCCATTTTAAATTTTACGGGAAGAGTCAAAATAGTCCTAGTTCTCAAAACTATCGGATGGGTCATTACATTTCATAACTGTCCGTAGATGGCCGAATATTACATAAATGCCCGAAAATGGCCAAAAATCAAGAAAAAATACATACACAATACAAAAATTGCCTCAATTTTTTTTGACTTGCACCAATGACATAAGAATTTCGTAACGAATAAGAGATCAGTTTAGTTCTTTTTGTAACTGTCCGAAAATTGCCAAATATTATGTAATGCCTGAAAATGGCAGAAAAATAGATAAACAATACAAAAAATGCCTCAAAAAATTTACACTTGCACCAATGACCTTAGAATGTCGTGACGTATAAAAGATCAAAATTTTACTTCCTTTCATAACTGTCTGAAAATGGTCGAATATTACATAAATGCTCGAAAATGGCTTTAAAAACAAGAAAAAATACCTAAACAATACAAAAATTGCCTCAATTTTTTTTTCACTTGCACCAATTACCTCAGAATATCGTGACGAATAAAAGAACAAAATTTTACTTTTTTCATAATTGTTCGAAAATGGCCAAATATTTTGTAAATGCCCAAAAATGGCCGAAAAATCAAGAAACAAAATACATAAACAATATAAAAAATGCCTCAAATTTTTTTTGACTTGCACCAATGACCTTAGAATTTTGTGACGAATAAAAGATCAAAATTTTACTTCTTTTTGTAACTCTCTCAAAATGGCCGAATATTACGTAAATGCCCAAAAATGACCAAAAAATATAAACAATACCAAAGACACCTCAATTTTTTTTTGACCTGCACCAATGACTTTAGAATATCGTGACGAATTGATGAGTCCAAGATTTGGACTCATTTAGGGCTTTATTTATATAGATTTAGTGTCCTCAAATGCTTATCTTGTGCCAATAACAGATGTAAAATCCTTGATTTTCAGGTATATGGATTGAGGAACAAAGCAAGGATGCTAATTTCAAAAAGGAACAAAGCGTGTTGAAAGAATGAAGAAAAGCAAGTCTGGTGATCGCCAAGTCCACTTGGGGATTCGCCGAATGGCTGCTTGACTACCTAAAGTTCCAGTGTGCCTTTGAAGGAAAGAACCAAGTTGGTGAGAGAAAGGAGCATTTAGTGGATCGCCGAGTGGTTCCGTGATGAAGTGCTGGATCGCCCAAAGTTACAGACCTTGAGGACGCTGAAGGCCAAAACATAATGGCGATGGAATTGACCAAAGGCGGATTGCCGAGTGGTTCGGCAAGCCCAACTTACTGCGTTGAGTGGTTCTTTGCAGCATATTTTTTGCGACTATAAATACGTTTGTGAACAATAAGTTTAGTATCTGGGGAAAAATCTAGTTTTCATTTTATCGAATTATGATTATTATTCTGAGTATTGAGACAAATTTTTCCCTAGTTCTTCCTAAGCATTGAAGAATTGAAGTTTTTCACTTGCAATAAATTGGAAGTGGGTCTTTGAGATTCTTCGAATTGAACATTGTAAGAACGAAATCAATCTTACCCAGTTGATGGAAACTCAATTTGGTAACGATTTTTAACTTTTTATGATGTCTAGGTAAAACCCCAATTCTTGGGGTGTGATTATGGGCTGATTTAGTTAATGGGTATTGCTAATTGTTAGATTAAATGTTGTTTAGAAGTGAGTTCAATCAGTAATTGTGGTTTAATTTAAGAATTTTAGTTGCAAATGCAGTTCTACCCTTGTGTTTTTTGGCTTGCTCAAGAGAGAGGTTTTAAAACTAAGTTTATTAATTGATGGTCAGTGGATATTGGGTTGACATGGTTCAGCTTAAGAGAGTGAATCATAAACTCAATCCCGCACATTCAGCTCGAGAGAGTGAGTGGACTAAGTTGTGGGCTGGTCTTATTTTGCTTGCTTGTTGATGTTCGAGAGAAATCAACTTGATTCTGGGTAAATTGTTCGAGAGAAAATTTGTCCTCTCTATGGCTTAGCTTACTCACTAATATACAACTATTTCCTAACAATTGCAATTACCCATTTGTCTATATTAGCCTATAATCAAATCACTTCCCAAGAACCTATCTCATTATTGTTATTTCGTATTGTTTGCCACTATTAGTAGTTTATAATTAAAACCAAAACACCCTTATTTGACATTCGTTTCACCCCCTGATTTGAATTATGTTTTTATTTGATAATGTCTAATCCTATGGCTGATTTGACCACATTCATACTTCCTAATTAATTCTCAAACACGTACTTCTCCTTGTAGGATTCAACCCCAACTCATTTAGTTGGGTTTTATACTTACTAGCGATCGTTGACACTTAGAATTGGAAGAAGTGCCCTTGAAATGTTAATCAAAATGGCACCGTTGCCGGGGAGTGGTGTTGTTTGAGATTTTTTGGTGAAGTTGAATTTGTTCCTTTTAGTCATAGTTGAATCTACTTACTTTTAGTTTTGGTTTGTGTGTTGTTTTGAAACAGATGATATATGAGTGTTAGCGGAAGCAATGGTAGCCAAGTGGGCCACCAAGATGACATCGGAAATCTCAATGATGTCAATGAGTCGAATGTTTATGACCTTAATCTTGTGGGTGGAGTTGGTGCCAT